GCAGTAGCAAGTAAACGTCGGGCCTGTGGGATCACTTTAAAGATTACTCTTTTAGTAGGACTCTCAGATTCAGTCATGAGAGCCTGTTAGGGTCCTAGGCTGGACATCACCCCCATGATCCCAGACTGCTAGCCACACATCCGCTTGGAAAGCAGCTCTTAAAGGGTTCCAGGGCACAATCCTATGCACATTTGGCCAGATAAAAGCCCCATGCATGCCCAATTCAAGAAAATGTGGCATACTTACCACCAGCTACTAGATGCAGGAAACAAACAAACAAACAGGGGGTGGTTAAGGCTACACACCCTGGTTATAGGCCACTCCCAGCGTTAACAGCATCTGGTGCTTTGGGACAAGTCAGGGTGAGGCGTACACAGTTCACCCCATGCCAGGCAGCCAAGTCTGCATGCTGACATGCCAAATTTCCCACAAGGCCCCACATACAGGGACCTGACCTTGCCAACCAATAGCTGGCTTCTAGAGAGCAACCTGAGCAAGCGTGCAGGTGTTTGCTAAATGCACTGTAATTCCATTTACATGTATTGATTTGTGTTTTTATTACATTTATACACTGCCTTTTATCCTCTTGCAAGAAACACAGTCTGGCTTTAAAGAGTTCCTTCCTTTTCATTTTATGCCCAAAACAACAACCCTGTGAGGTAGGTTGTTGCTCAGTGAGCTTCATGGCCAAACACAGGACTAGAAACTCTATCTCCCACTCTTAGCACTCTAACCACTACACCACATTGACTCTATTACCATTTAATGATAGCAATTATTTCTAAATTGGCACCGATAGATGTAAATTAGGATATAGATATTTCATTAAAATCTAAGATTAGACCTTGTTCTTGAGTCTGCAGATCCAGTCAGGAGCATGAACTACACAAAAACATATTTATCTTAAATTTTTGTATCCTGCCCTTTACAGTGTCTCAGGATGGCGATAACATAGATAAATAAGATACAGTATCACAATAAACTTGGCCAATACAGAGTAGAAATATATCCTTGTCTATGATTTTACAGTAAAGCTGGTGCAGCCTTTTCCAGTCTGTTTCTTTCAGATGTTTTGGATTTGCCTTCCTGACCATCAGCCTGGCATTGATGGGAGTTGAGATTCAAGATTTCTGGAGGGCAGCCAATCAGGACAGGCTTCTGTAGAGCACAGATAATCCCAAAAGTGTGAAAATGTTCCTGTTTTGTGTGCTGGTTCCCACCCTTTGGGCTGGGCAAGTTATTATCCAAACAGGAACTTTGAAAATAAGCTCTCCTCCCACACAGAGAAATCAAGAGAAAGGATTAGCTGGATCACTCAGTTAGGAAATCTTTTTTGATTGGCACTTGGCTACTGTGTAGGATGAGGCTGCAGAAGCAAAGTTGCCACACCTTATAAAACATTTCTTCATATGCCAAGGAAAATGTTTTCCTGCATACAAAATGGCTTCTTCAGTGAACTTTATATGGCGTCTAATGCTAGGTGCTTGGTCTTGGTTCTCCATGAAAAAATTATGTATTTTGGAAGGTAGCCTCCAGCTAAGCAATGGAAAAGGCATTTTATATTATAAGACCAGACTATTATTTCATTACAAGAATTAGATTATGGGAAATTGTTATGTGCTATTATGCTGATTAGCTGTTGAGTGACTGGCCTTGAAATAGTAAATAGCACACAGTCTGTCAACATATTGCTAAAACTTGCAAATTGCTCCGTTCAGATTATCAGAGCACCAGAGTGATGAGCTGTCAGTTTTGTAGCTGCCTTGGGATTATCTTGTTTTCTTTCTTCACTTTGCAGTGCTGAAAATGGATGTCCTTGTTTTTGTAATATTATTTCCCAGAATACATTTATGGAGTTTTAAATTTTTCTTCTCCGCACTTACTATTATTCTTATGAAACCAAATATAAGGATCATTTTTGAAAATACCCACAGGGTCCACCAAACATCTATCTGACATACCTTATACGTAAATGTATCTAGACATACATATCCCACCAGATGCCCCTAAGCCTGAGTTGGGCAACCTGGATACCTTTCTTGGTGATTGTCAAAATTCCTCAGCCTTCCTATTACTTTTTTAAAAGTAAATATATTTCCCTGCTGCCAGTTGGGATTCCTGTGAATCTGTTCTCTGTTGATGCTGAAAACTGTGGCTTCAAAGGAGTTGCTTAGTATGCTGGAGCTCAGTTTCCACCTCTGCCTTGTATTCAGCTGTGCTGGTTGTTTACCACTGGTTCCAGAGCAGCCATTTTGTGGTGGTGCCCAGAACAGTTTCTTAAATAGCCAAATGTGCCCATGGCCCAAAGGTTTACCTATGCTTGCTTTAAGCAAGCCACACTGGATGCATCCACGTCATGCTAGCCTCAACCTGGCAATAAGCCAGTGTTGTGCAAATGACTGAATTCATCACGGCTTGTACTCCCTCTCCCTCCTTCTGCAGAGATAACTCTATGGGAGGTCTGAGTTATCTCCACCCTCCTCACCGGAACTGTAAGCCATTTTCACCTTGCCCTTTTGTTTACCCTTTTTCCAGAGATCACATAAGCCACCTTGAGAGTGGTCTTTTGTGATCCCTGATTTGATAGCCACTAGTAGGCCCTACAAATTGCTCTAGCTGCACCAGGGAGGGGCTGTGAGAACCTTTAAAAATGCACAAAGTTTTATTTATTATTTTTAGTTGCACTTGTCTAACTACAACAGTTTGCAGGTCCCGCAAGTGGGGTCATTTGAAGCCGTGCTGATCCTGAAATAAGTTGTGGGGGAACCCAGTGCTAGCTGTCCTGACGTGCCACTTGGGCTCTTTGGAGGCAGCTTGTACCTGTGTTTGCCTGGGAGCCACAAGGCAAGAGTAAATTTGCTCCTGCTAAGCAGCTCTGCAGCTAATTCTCTGTACCCATGATAGGGCTGGTTGCCCGGGTTAGGATGACATGACGAGCCATTATACCTATAACATGACAAGCCACGGGCCTACGCAAGCCTGTGGGTTGTTGCACATGAACAAGTCACCTTGATGAAATTGGCCCGGATTCACACAACCCCATTACACACGACAACCCACTATGGGTTGTTCTATCATGCTAAGCCATGGCTCTGTTTCAATCCTCCTTCCCCAGTACAGAGACCATAATTTTACTTAGTCACTTCTGAATAAGCATATGAATTTTCAGAAACGGGGAATGTTCCATTACTTATTTGTTGTGCCTTCCCAGTTACCCTTGGAAGGGTCCCAGTGTAAGCTGAAACCGTATCAGTACCTCATAGAGCTAATTTTAATGTCTGCAGCACCCTTTCCATTCCATTCTCAAGGCTGTAACAAATGGTAGATTCCAGAGCCTTAAGATCAGCTGCATTTTTGTGCTTTGTTTACCATCTTGCCCCGAGTGTTCTGGTGAAGTTGAAAGTTCAGACAGTATTTTGTGACCTTTGAGTTAGCCTAATGAAAGTATTACATTAATGAAGATTTTAGCATTTTCCTTTCATCCAACATTGCTACTTTCATTTTTTATTCATTCATTCGTCATTAATTCATCTGCCTTACAGTCATTGTAAGGATTATTGAAATAATATACACAATGTGATCTAAACACACCATAAGAACTGTATAAATGTTAAATATTACCAGGAAGCAGGAAGTCTGCAATCTGTGGCAGTTCATCTGTCAAGGAAGAGTGGAAGCAGAAAGCCAACATGGCATGTCTTAATAGGAAATGAAACTTGACCTTTCAGAGAATTTTTCAGGGCTTCTGAAGGGTAAATGTTAGATCTATATATAAAAACCAACAAGTATATTAGCTGCATTTAAAATTGAGAGTTGAAACACACTGTTCAGTATTCCTTGCCACAATTTGAAATATTCAAGCGTATTTGTTAGGTGGAAAATGTTCTGCTTCAAGATGAAGCACTGCTGTCAGAAGAGCTGTCTAGGCCACACAGATTGCCTTAGCGAGGTGGCACAAGGTCCTGTGGGCTGAACGGGGAGATTCCAGGGACTGGATTCAGTGGCTCCAGCCCCAGTTTAGAAGCATGGTCAACTTCAAACCCAGGTGGAACTGTTCTGGCCAAGGCTGCCCACTGTGTGCAGAAAATATCCTGATAATTTTGGCTTTGGAGAACCATCAGGCTTGAGGCTTTACTGAGAAATGCACAAAAGTAGGTCTGTAGTGAGTTTGAATCCACAGTTACAACATGTTGAGAAGAACTTAATAGGTAGTACAGGTTGGTGAACAAGTTTGTGACAATGTGAAATTGTCAAAGGGCTGAGATACCAGTATAACAAGAAATAATGTGGGTATGGTTTTTAAATGCATTATATAGTTGTACATATGAATGTACTTGGGAGGTGGAGACTGTTGCACTAATAAAGTCGCTTTCATTTCTTAAATTCAAGTTTCTACCCCTTATAACCACCTATGATACCATGTTTCATAAGAATGTGTAACCAACATCTGCTGAAAGCTCAAAGGCCAAACTGATGGCATTTAAGTTGTCAAGATGACACTTTAGATTCCCACATGGCTCTTTTCTGTGTTCAAGAGAAGCAAAATACAGAGTATCAACACTGATGCTAATATAGAAATATACCCAAGTAGCTCTTAGCCAATAAAAAAGGTCCAGTATTTACATGCACATAGTAAATAACTTTAATTAGAAACACAACAGTTCAACAATATAAAAATAACCCTCTTCTAAAGTATTTGCACAATTTTAAATGTTTAAATCCAGTTGCAAAACTAAAAAAAAACCACTTTGAAACATAGATTTGTGCACATAAAATTTCCACTGAAGACATACAACTGAAATGTGGTTGAAAATCTTGCTCCCGGAGTGCTGATGGAGCAAGCCAATGATAAAGAATGCAAAACCTCCACACTTTACTCTTCCAGTGTCTGCTGCCTGGAGCTCTTGCTGCTTGGATCTGACAGAGAACAAAGTCCTTTTGAAACCAAGACTGGATGGCTCAGTGCTGTTCCCACGTGGCCACTGCCATCTCAAGGCCCCTCACAAATAGAAGAGCTTGTCCACAAGTTCCAGGCTTGGCTCATGGTGGATGCTCTGGCCCACAAGAAATGTCAGCTTACTGGCATACTGGCATGGTGCTGGGACTCGGATTAGGCCCTGGAAGACAAAAACCAGGAGATCAAAAAGCCTGCCCTGCCACGATTTGCTGAAGGCAGCAGCAGCCGTGCCTCAAAATCCCATGACAGCCTAAGAGATTCTGGGAACTATAGTCCTACAAGCACTAGGTTAAGGAAGACATTTTTAAGATCCTGGAAGTGCTCTTTCCTTGGCCAGTGGGATTTGGCTGTTTTCACACTTCCAGGCTAGCCACAAAGGCTGGTTGCTTATGAATTCCCTGCAAGATTACACGTTTGGCATGGAGAACTGAAACAGGCCTTGCTAGATTTAAAACAACTTTTGCAACTTGGCACCTCCCAGATGTGTTGGCCAGTAGCGCCCATCATCACCAGCCAGCAGAGCCAATGCCTGGAGACCCAGCAGGGCAGCTGCATGGTTAGACCCAGGCCTGAACAGTCTTCCATTTCTCCCCACCAAACCACACCCTCTGTAGGCAGCCATGTGCATTTGTTCTTCTATCAACCACTTGCAGTGAGAGAGAAAAATGATCATTGCGATTTCAACTTCATACCACTTATGACTTAAGCAGTTCTGTTCAGCAAAAGATTTTGCTGGGTTTGAGCCACTTAAGAGAAGATCTGATGGGTGTCTGCCTGCATTTTATTGCCAGCCCTTCAAACTCACTCTTGACTGAAACCAAGCTTGGCAAACAAGCCTTCAACTGTTACTAGCCCAATAAAAAAGAGTTTACAAGTCTGGCTGCCAAACTATGTTGGACACTAATGGCATGACAATGGCTTGAAAGGGGAGGAGTTAACAAAAGAATAAAATATCTCCCATTTTGAGGCAGTTTGCAAGACTGTACTCTATAACCTGAGCCTCCTGGTTATGCTAGCTGGGGATGCTGGAGGTGGTTGTCCAGCACATCTGGAGGGTGCCAGGTTGAAGAAAGCTGAAATAGGCCATTCTTCGCTGGACCTCATGGAGAGCGGGGAACCTGCCCGTTCATGCTGCTGCTAACAGTGTTCCTTACAGGCCAGTTGTAGTACAGGTGGCACATCTTGTATGTCAGGCGCTGCATATGGTCTGGCTTTAATCCACTGTCGTCATAGATCACGTTGTAATAGGTGGGGTTGACAGTCACCTGGCGAGCAACTTGGCTAATCAAGAAAAAGTCATACCTGTGGGGCAAGTTAGTGAGAAAACACCTGTGTAACATCAACTAATCAACAGCAATGCCAAAGGCACTCGTTTATCTATATTATGAGAAGCATATACCACCACCACCACCGCATTTTTATCCTGCCCTTTTCCCTCTTGTGAGGAGCCTAAGGTGGCTTACATAACTCCATGTTATCCTAACAACAATCCTGTGAGGTAGGTTAGGCTAAGAGTGAGCACAAGCCCAAAGTTACCCAGTGAACTGCATGGCCGAGTGGGGACTAGAGCCTGAATCTCCTGGGTCTTCAGCAATCACAACATTACTGCTTAATGAAAACACACTTGCTTTCCATCCTTTTCCAAAGGAAACATACATGGTCCCATCCTATCTGACTTTATCCTTACACCGATGGAGCTTAAGGGCCGAGTGGGGATTCGAGTCTGGGTCTACGAAATTCAAGTCTACCACTGTAACCACTACCCCATGCAGGCTCTCTCACACTCTTCTGGTGTCTGGAGCCAAGTATCTGCTGCAATGGGCTTTGTGTGTTCATTTGAATGCAAAGGAAAGTCAATGCTGAGCTGTGGCTTTTTTCAGTGATAGCCCCGTAAATTTTCAACTCTCAACCAAGTTAGCTATCCTTTTATTTATTCCTTGCATGTATATCCCAGCCTTCCTCTTTATGCTCACAACAGTCCAGTGAGGTAGGATAGGTGGAGTGTGTTTGACTGGCTAAAGGTCACCCAAAGACAGAGAGTCAAACCTCGTCTTTGAAGTCCAGCAATTTAACTGGTAGAGCACACTGGCTATTGACTGTAACCTAAATTGTTATATCCATCTCAACTAAGGTGCGGAAATGTTTTGTACATTCCAGTGTAGGTGGGATTCTAATCTCTGTTAGTGATAGTGCGTGTACATACACAACATTATTCTAGATTAATGCAGAATATATAGGGTATGATCATATGCTGGTAGCCAAAGGGATAGGGGAGCAGGGAGAGGTTCTCTCTTTGGTCACCAGTGATTTAAAAAGAGTGCTCTTCTTTCATTACACCATGCACAGTTAAAAGGTGACATTTTAATAAAAAATTTGGAAAAGGGTTTTGCTTTTTGCATAAGTCATTTGGGTGTTCACTGTCTGCACACTTCACCACTGCAATTCTTGCTGATAAAAAGGACCTACTAAGGACCCTCTTGTCTATCCCCTTCCCTTCAAATGCCTGCCACACAAAGCTTCAGAGCAACGCTCATTAAGAGAACTCCCACTGCATCATTGTACAGGGTAAGAAACCTCTGGCATAGGAGCTAAATCCAGCTGGCTAGAGTTCTAGGGACTGGCATATTGCTCTAACTTCTTTCTTCCAACTAACAATCACTAGACGGTTCCTGGATTTCGTGGGGTTTCCCTCACCCTCATTAAAAGGTTCAAAGACCTTCTCTTAAGGTTAAAGATAGGAAGAGTTAGTTTTAGGGTGACATATGCTAGCAATCTGGCCTCACCCCTTTTGCCATTGGCTGGCACCACCACTGGAATGTGGTCCCCAAGAGCTTTGCCAAAATTAAATGTTGCCTTGGCATGAAAAAGTTTCCCCACCCATCATGACATCTGGTTATCCACTTGTAGTCCAGAAAATCAAGCCATTATGATAATCGCAGATATTACGCGCTCCAACGGAGCAAAGCTCAGGGAACCAAGGTTCCATTTAGATGCCAGGAAGCACTTCCTGACAGGACCCTGAGGGTGTGGAATGGGCTTCCACGAGAGGTGGTTGAGGCCCCATCGGTGAGGGTATTCAAAGATAGGCTGGACGTGCACATGGTGGGCATGTCGTGAGTGGAGCCGGCTGGAGTCGGGGGTCAGACTAGAAGGCCCCGGGAGGCCCCTTCTGACTCGCTCTGTTTCTATGTTACTCTGAGCAAGCAAAGCAAAGCACCATGGAACAAGTCTTGAAGGGAAGGTTTTTTCAGGATTGGAACTGAAGGAAAACACCTGTTTAGTAAGGTTAAGTTCCCCTGTTCAGTTCATCTTGTGGCCGGAATGAAACTTCACTGTGTATGTTTATCCAAGTAAGTAGATTTAATAAGGCATGAACACCAGCAATTGCAAGAGAGAAACAGAAGCCCTTTGCTTATATACCAATCCTTGGTTATAGAGGGAAACAGAAGCCTATCCAATTACTGTGGATGTAAATTACAACCTGCACAATGCAGGAATTAACACATACTTTCCTTATCTCCTTGCTTTGATGTTGATTTACAACAGGCATAGACTCCATCTCGCATCGAAACAAAGTGTGAGATGTAACAGACACAGACTCCATTCTGGGTTATCACAGGTGTGATTTATTACATTCTGAGTCTTCTCAAGAATGTGTACTAATTGCCATTCACAACAGATACAGAGTTACTTTCCCATCTAGCTGACCAGAAAATATTCAAAGCCCGAACATCTTCTACTTTTACAAGCTTAACCTGTCCTCTCCACGAAGACAGCATCCTTTGGTCCTGCTCTTACAGCATAGTATACTTGCCATTCCGGTCGAGTGGCTTCAGTATCGACAACAGTCCCAAGGGGAGGATTTTGCAGGCTCCTGTAGGCTTCAGTGAAGAAGCGACATGGGCACCTCTTTTTTACTATAATCACAGACAGTTTGGGTCGACTGCTATGCAATGAAAGACAATTTTAAAAGGGAAACAAGACATGGCTTACCAGTGCTCTGCACTGCCACAATTGGGTTTATGGAAATGGGAGGACATGGCATCAGAGAGGAATGACATAAATGTAACATGGCCAGCAGATAATATGTATATGTTATTTTCATTAAAAACATGCATATATTAACCTTTTCTCAGAAGTGTTCTAGATGGCCATCAGGGAGTGTACCTATACCCTCAGAGGGCCCGGTGGGGGGCACTTCACCCCCACCCACCCAGAAAACATTCTGCACCCAATTTGCAAGGCTGCAAAATGCGGGCAAAGCACGGCCAGCGAAAAGGCTTGCACAAACAAGTGAAGCACTATGTATGAGTATCTCTGAAATACAACAGGAGGAGGAAGAATTCATGTGCAAGGGTGGAGGAGGAGGAAGAGGAAGAAGCTTGCAGGGCACTGACAGTTTCAGACACTGGGTGTGCACTGGGAAGTGGGACAAGGAAGTACGGATAACATTTTGGTTAGGCAAATGGTAGAGCGGGATCTATTTACCTGAAACTTCCACAGCATTCATCAAGCACAACTAGTAACTGTGGGACCTCATAATCCACCACCAGCTTGAGCTGCCCGTCCCCAACTCCATCACGATAGACGATGATGCGTGTAGGGAGCTGCCCATTACAACTTAGCCATTTGCTTAAAGCTCCTACAGAATTGCATGAAAGGAATATAGCAGGGCTTCGTGTAAATGAGCTTATCACGGCAAAGCTCCCATCATATTGAAAGGTGGTGCTTCCACGTGAGTTTTACTTTACTTCCACTCAGAAAGGATTCCCTATCACCGTCAATGAAACTTTGAACACTAACCAAATCGCTTGGGAAAATGGGAAGTCTCCTGATGACACTGAAAAAAGTAGGAGGCAGAGAGACCATTCAACAGTAAAGATGGCATGATCAAGGCATTCTTGACCATGCTTTGTACCATGGATGTGCACCTTTGGGCAAAACTCCCTGGAGAAGACAATCGTGCTGGCAGAAGTCAAAGGCAGGAGAAGAAAAAGGCCAGTGATGAGATGGACTAGATCCATAGAGGAAGCCACAGCCTTGACTAAGAAGAGCTGAGCAGGGCTGTCATGGACAGGTCACTCTGGAGGGCTTTCATTCACAGGGTGGCACAAGTCAGAGATGACTTGACAGCACATGACAACAGCAGCAGCAACACCTTTGTGAGGTCTGGGTGGGTGCCACTTTTGGCCCCAGACTCTCCCCCTTCCCACAGGTTGCACTGTGCAAAAGCACAAAGAAAAAAAAGGCAAGCAAAGTCCAACCCTTCTGATGCTCTGTAGCTGCTATGGATGGCACTTTTGTTATTGTTTTTTTTAAATAATTTGCCTCCCCCCCCCCCCCCGGAGACAGTGGATGCTCTATTGGGAGGTGGTGGAGGCAGCATGTGACTACGTGTCTGTTACCCACCCCAGGTTCAACCCACCATGACAAATGCAACTCAACAACCCTAAGTTGCAGCCCAGCTAAAAAATAAAGAGGAAATTCAAGGACGTGGCAGGCCACAGCATGTGGCTTCGGGGACTGTGCTTGATTCAGCAAGCCTGGTGTATACTGTGGACAAACAGAGCTCCAAAGCTACCCAGTCTGTTTCTGAGCCCAATTCAGAAAGTTGGTACTTACTTTGAAAATCCTACAAACTTTGGGACCTGGGTATCTGAGGGTCCTCCTACTGCCATATGAATCTGCCTGGTCCCTTAGAGTTATCTACCTAAATCCTGCTCCAGTTACCCCACATTTTCTGAAGTGAGGCAGGTGGTGATGGATCTTCAGAATTTTCTCTCTCAGAAGGCTCATCTGATGCCTTTTACCAAGAGTGAAAAAAAAAGCATTTTCACAGGCTTTGTGATCTGGTCTGTTTATAGCATTCACAATGATTTATGCTCATGGAAAATGCCTTAGAGAGTGATACTTTAGGAAAGCATCCAAGGGACCAAAATAATTTCAGTATTCCTCCTGTGAGACCATACACACCATTACGACCTAGGGAATGGAACTCCAAGCAGGAATCATTGCTCCCTCACCTGGGGTCGAAGCTCTGACCTCGACTGAGGATGCAAATCAGGGCGCAGGGAGAGGAGGCACCAGGGATATACTTGAATCCTCCCTGCTTCCACTAGAGGTGCTCAACAGTGCACCTGGTGAAAAACGGGACAGAAAGGAAGCACAGAGAAGAGACCATCTGCCCTGCCGCTGCTCTTGCTTTGGCGGGAGCCTGCCAGAATGCAGTAACAATGGAGCACCCCTTCCAAAGGCTCAGAGTTGCTCTGTTAATGTTATATGTGTGGTTTATTTTCCGTGTTTTACGCTCTCAGTTTTTACTTCGATGCAACCTTTAGTTTGATGAAATACCTTTCAGGCAGACCTTCAAACAATCTGCAGTGCTTGCTTCTGAACGCTGCAAAATGCAACGAGAATACCACCTGCACAGCAAAGGAAAGGAAAGGAGTTACAAGGCAATCAATACCATTCCAACAATGCAGGCTGACAAGGCTCCTTCTATCCCTTTTGTTCAGGTTCTGTACCTTCCTACATTATCCAGAACAGCCTTTCCAAATCTATTGCCTTCCATGTGTGCTAGACTACAACCCCCATGATCCTCAGGTAGCACAGTCAATAAGTGTTGATGGAAGTGCAGGCCCACACATCTGGAAGGCACCAGGTTGAAGAAGACTACTCCAGGGGAACTACCAGTAGGTCAGGGCTCTGCTAGCTCGGAGCTGTGAGAAATACTAACGGGCAGCAAATTATCACCCAGTGCATCCACAGAGCGGGAGAGGGTTGTGCAGGAACGGCCTTTTGGGACTGCGCAGCCACCAAGCTGCAGCTGCAATATCTGACATGCAGAAATCTTCCAGTAGTATCCAGTTTGTAAACAAAGAATCTTACCTAGTCATTGAGATGTTTGTGCTGGCCACGAACCCAACCACAGAGCTTCCTTTGGCCACCACATCCTTGTTGACATCAATGCCAACCACCATAAGTAACTTCAGCTGTTGAGAAAACAACAAACTCAGTCAGAGGCTCAAGGCAGGCCATCCGGGAGCCTGTAGGGAGCTGCCTTTCCTGCTCCCAGAAGAAACCTGAAACCAGCACATCACCTGCTACATCTGTGGAGACCCTCCCCCATCTGTCCTGTTTCAAAGGGTGATAGCAAAGAGACCTAGTCTGCACTCAGCTGCTGGCAGGTCATAAATCAAGAGCTGAGATCAGGGAAGAAGCACATACTGTGAAGGAGCTGAGGTCAGTGCCATAAAGCTGCCACTGAGAGGCAAGTATAAAGCAGGTGCAGAGTCAGTGAACAGAAGCCAAATGTTTCAAAGATGCCAAATAGGAGCACTGAGCCTGGAGGTGGGGACACAGAGTTGTCCAGTGTCAGTTCTCCTTTGAAACAAGCCTTTCATGCAGGGTTAGCTAAGCCATGCTCCTACCCCACAAGGCTCCTACCCCGCAAGGCTGCTTGCAATAACCTGAGCCCTTTATTTTTCTGGGTCTCTGGCTTACGGGAGAACATGCTGCCTGTGAGAAAGTGGCCGGTTTTCCAGTTAAGCAGGCCATCTCTGTCTAGGGCTGCAAGGAGTTACTCTTCCGGCTCTGACTGAAAGCTCTCCCGAGACAAGGGAGGATGTTGAGGGCCTGCTCTGGGGGGTGGGGGGGGGGGTCCTGAGGCCAGTGCTGCTGTCCAGTGAGTTCCGTTCTCCCTCTAAGCCCCTGGGGGAGGGAGGCTCCTGGGGCTTAGAGGGAGGCTCCTGAGGCAAAGACAGGTCCTCTCCATCCTGGCCAGGGGCAAGTCCTCCTTCTCTTCTTAAGAAGAGAGCCCTAGGGGTATATGACAGCATTCCAGCTGAAGATTTTGATCCTGCAGACACCGTAACTGCAACAATCTCGCTCCACTGTCTCCACCCCTCACCCACATTCTGCAAACCTTAGAAGCCTGCACATTTTTCCTGATCTTTCGACTGGTCTAACAAAGGCATCCTGATCGGCTTTTTGGAATGGATCCACACATGCTTTGTCGGCAAAGGAAGACAAGGAAGGTTAGAAACCCCTTACTGGTATCTCAACTGCCCACAGCTCTCCTCCGAGCTTGCAGGTGATCAGCATTGCAAGCTTTGTGGCCACGCTCATCATCATCCCTTGCTTGCTCAAGGTACGAGCGAGCACACACTGGCTCGGAACAGGACGCTCAAGACTCAAGAACTTCTTCACGGCATCGTAGCAGTCCTTCTGACTGGAAGGCAGCACACAGAGCACCTAAAAGTGAGACACGGGACAGGCAAATCCCCTCGCTGAATTCTGTTGACAAGGCCGGCCTGTGTCCTGCCATGAGGGACCCCATTGGAACCTGAGTTGTGGGGGCGAACAATCTCAGCAGAAGATGTAGCTAGAAGTCTTAATCTGCCCCACTGCCTGCTAATTGCCTCATCCTGAAAGCAAGACCTCAGGGTTTTCTTGTGCACAGTGTGCATAACATGTAGTTTTGTCATGAGATTAACTGAAAAGATTTTTGAGGAAAGTTTGTTCCAAATGAGCAAGCTGCAAAAATAATGAGTGGCTACTTACAAAAGTCATCAGAACTTTTTGTCTCTTAATCACAAACCAGGAGCAGAAATTCCCTGATAGCTGATACCTATCATCTTTTCTCCTTCCAATTTATCTACACTAGTTTTAAACCAGACCTTTAAAAACAGAAATGTCTGTGAGCCCAACAGGTTCCTCCAGGCCACAACTGAGAAAAGACAGGCTCCTGCTAGAACTTCAGAAGCAAAACAGTTTTTGGCATCTCGTGTATTTCACAAGACATCTCTACAGAATATAGTGTCTGGTGCAGAATTAAGCATCTGGAAAAAACAAGTTTTCATTTAAAATTATGTCCTTATGGATATAAGAAATCAGGCACAGTTCTAATGAGCATGGGATAGAATTTCAGAGGTCTGTATCTCTCCGTATCAAATTGAAACAGAGTAAATTATATAAAAGTTTTTTTCCACTATCAGCTTAAGACTTTTTTAAGTTAAAAAGGCTTCTGATCTGCTGAACTGATACAACTTTTTATTTATGGCTTCTTATTTTTCTTAAGGAACAATCGTATCCCTGTGCAAGCTTGGACAAAAGAGGCCTACAACTCCCAGCATGGCTGACTGTGGCATCCTGGGAGATGTAGGCTTTTTTCCTACCTAAATGTGCATAGGAATGCACCCTAATGGTGCCCCGCTGGCATCTTTAGCTGTTTTGTTTCTGATTTTCTTTTTTACTTTCTCCTTACTGAATTCTAAAAATTGGTCCATGATATTGTATGACTGTTGTTAGCAACGCTGAAAGATGGGATATAAATTGAAATAATAATTGTTCAGTTTTCTTGACTTTGTATATCTTAAACCAGTCCTGGGATTTGGCTTCCTCTGGCATAAATTTTGGGTTTTCTGTGTAAAGAATATAATTCCCTCTGTTTCTGGTATTTAGATTGTTACTTAGTCAGAGGAGCACCACCTGCAGGTATCCGGGAAAGATCATCAGTCTTACAGAAGTACAAAAACGCAAAAGACTGCAGAAGGGGGAAGTGATACCTACTAGGGAAGTTCAGAGAGAGCTGCTCTGCCTATGCTCAGTGGCCCTGGAATGCCAGCTGCTGGGGGCGGGGGCGGGCAGGGGGAGCAGAATGTAGTAGCTGGGATCCTGAACAGCAGTACTCCACCCTACCGCAGTTCATTTGTTTTCACTTGTTCAGTGTACCGGGGAGAAGGGCCTGTTTTAGCCTAAGGGCCCAATTCCCCAAAATTCCTTAAGGTTTTGGGTGATGAATTCCAGTGGAGAGTGGAAGGCAAAAGCGGGCAGAAGTCCTAAGCAGAAAAACCCATTTTTTGGCTCTACTCACTTTACTGCTGGAACTATAATCTTAGAAAAGACATTTCAACCATTTAGGATGGGGGAAAACCATCTAAAAGCCAGAAGTCACCAAATAATTGAGAGAAGGGGTACAGCCAGGGAAAGAGAAAGAAGCCCTCTGGGGTCCACAGGCCTCAGTTTAGCTTCTAGGCGTGAAGTTCTGAACCTGATATAGGCAGTCCTTGACACGTCAGCATAATTTGCTAATTTATGATTGCAAACTAGTGCAGAGAAGTTATCAGGAAACTGCTGACCATGAGGACATCCAAATATGTACATACATTTGTGTCATCTGTGCTACCTTCTGAGGAAGGTCCATTTTTCAAGAGCTCCTCATGCCATCCTTCAACAGTTTTGAACATTAGCAAGTGACATGCCTCCCTTCAAACCCATTAGAGAAGTTGTGCTTCTCAGGCCTTCATACATACCAGCTGCAGCTCAGGACTGACAAACTGTTGCAGGACGTGCTTGAAGGCCATGCAGCTCTCTTGTACTTTCACGCTACAGAACACAAAAGCACAGAAAACACGGCTAAATGTTAGACCTGCTAAATACTGTTCAAGTGGGAGTTTGAAGGACATCTCTTAAAAGGACAGCCTGCTGCTAGTTTCCCAGGGTACAACATTGAATTTAAGGCATGACTCATCAGCATTTTACCCTCATGCACCTTAAACATTTCTGCAGGGTTTAAGATGCTAAATTATCTTACAGGAATGGAAAGAATGGTTCCTGGAAATGTAATTCAGAGAAATTCCAGCACATGCATGGAAAAGCTAAAATGTCATAAAGTCATAAGCAGTAAAAAAGGGGGGACCCCCCATCACAACACAAAAGCCAGTAATTTTAGGATCAGTGGTTTTTGGATTCTTTCCCCTAATGGCACTTGAAACTTCAGGAGTCCCCAAGAAAGAAATGATGGAGATATAGCACCTTTCCCCTTATCAATGGGATATCTTGGGTTTATTCATGGGATGCATCTGGATGAGGCTTTTATTGTGAAATTCTCTCATTTGCAGCATTTTACTACCAGCACCCCACCAATCATTAAAGATGCAGTGCCATTTCACAACAAAGACTGAACTAGCACGACGTGGTCCAGAGGACATGATCTTCTTCCACCTGTAAACTTCCCCCATTTTCCCATCGCTTCATTTCTCTTTCCACAAAATATCCATAGACAAGAAGAAGGTGGAAGAGCTGCTGCACCATGAATTTTGACTGGTAGCATGAGGGGCCCTCCACCTAGAAGCATTTCCTATATTTTACCATTCAGTGTCCATTTAAAAAGTTGATGAGGTTTCCAGTTGTGTGCTAGTCATGATTTGCCACTGTATATATTTAGCAGGCCCCTTAACTAAAATAGAGGAGGGGGATAGAGAAGCTATTTTGAACGGATTTTGACCCAGTTCTGGACGGAGTAGCACTCCCTCTAAAGGACAGGGTCCGCAGCTTGGGAGTGCTCCTTGACCCAGAGCTGTCACTGGAATCCCAGGTGGCGGTGGTGGCAAGGAGTGCTTTCCTACAGCTTCAGCTGATCCACCAGCTGCACCCTTACCTGGACAAGCAGTGCCTAGCAAAGGTGATTCATGCTCTGGTAACCTCCCAGTTGGATTACTGCAACACGCTCTATGTGGGGCTGCCCTTGAAGACGGTCCGGATATTTCAGCCGGTACAGAACAGAGCTGCCAGATTGCTGACGGGGACCAGTCATTATTCTCACATAATGCCGGTCTTCTACCAGCTCCACTGGCTTCCAGTTGAAGTCTGGGCCCAATTCAAGGTGCTGGTTTTGACCTATAAAGTCCTAAACAGCTTGGACCAGTATACCTAAAGGAACGTCTCCTTCCTTGTATGCCCTCATGTCCCTTAAGATCTATGGGAGAAGCCCTACTCTGGGAACCCTCTCGGAAGTAAAAAGGGCATCAACTCAGAGTAGGGCCTTCTCTGCTGTGGCACCCAGACTCTGGAATGTACTCCCGAGAATGGTACGCCTGGTGCCAAGTTTATACTCTTTTCGGTGCCAGGCCAAAACCTTTTTATTTAAACAGTATTTTAAACTCTAATAGTTTTTTAGTTTAGTCGCTCTGTTTGGTTTATTGTTTTGTTCTGTTTTATTATGGAAATTGTTGTTTTAATTGTCCTTTTAAAAATTGTAAGCCATCCTGAGATCTTGTATAAGAGGACGGCATACAAAAGCTTTTAATAAATAAATATCCTTAGGGTTTACCTATAGTCTGATATGGAGACATTTTGGCAATAATCGGTCATCATTTTAGAACTTGTACACTGCCTGCTATCCCCACGAAAGATGAAAGCCTCTCATCTGTCCATACTCTTTCCAGCAGATGTGGATGCAATTTGACAGCTGCTAGATGGTTTTGTAGGGATAATGTACCACCTAAGAGAAAACTTGTTTCCTTCATAGGTATATTGATTAATAAAATAATGGAGTTCAAGACAGTGCACTAGACATCTTCCTCTGATGTCTTGCCTAGGACATTCTCCCATACTGGTATGTAGGACAGAGTACCTTCACAATGGTTGTTGTGGTATCTTAGAAATAAAGAATATTAGAACAAGGTGCCCATGTCGTTACATCCATAGTAGGCCATTGACTGCATGTGAGATGTGAGACTGGATCAACATCATACTTGCATGGATTGATGCAAAGGGATGCAAACCGGTCTTTAAGACAGCCACACTGGGAGCGAGAGTTCTCCTGATCGAATCATGGGAAGGCAACTTGTAGCCCATGCTGGTTACAGCTGATGGAATGCGTAGGTCAGTACACACAGAGGGCCGGAAGAGCTCAACCCTCACTTAGCAGATTTATTTCTAATTGTGGGCTAGTATGCACCCTGAATTCCAGGTGGCACGGAACTAGTACCAGCAGAAACAGAACAGGATCTGTAAATCTCTGCCCAAGTTCCTGATTACTCATCCTGCCTGAGTAGGATGCATTTGGGTCTGCATCTGGTCCACATCAAGAGCTCTACGTGGAATTTGAACGAAACAGCAGCAGAACAAAAATCAAGCAAGTCCTCTTTAAGCATTTAGCCTGCGAAGAATCCCTTGCTTCAGCTGGTGAAAAGGTACTTTTTGCACTAGGACCTAATGGATTTGTCTGCACTTGATGTCTGTAGATATGGCACGGCCATTTAGAGTGGGACAAAAATTTCTGGGAATGTATTCATCTATGCCGTTGTTAGCCTCACTCACTATGATAAAATTATCTGTATTCAATTTCTGAGTAACAGAATGGATGTGTGAGAGGATGGATAGCTGTAGAATTCAGATACTAAAGGGAAAATGTGAGAACCCAAATCTCTTTAAAGCTTTGTGAACCACAAAAAAGGGAAATTTATGTTCCAAGCTGAATGATAAACAGCTAATTTATGGCTTTGTAGTCTCAAGATTTTCCAAAGACAAGTCATAATAAGATTTCCAGTAGTTCTGATGTTGTATTGGTTATGCAAAGTTGTTGTGCTTATGTTGGCTGAGAAGAGACCCCCACTTTCTGTTTTGCATGGTAAACTCAGCTGCCTTGGAAGGACTGACCAGTGTGCAAACCAAAGGGGAGCAGTTCAGTTGCTAAAATGTACAGGAGTGAACAAAGGTGGAAACTTTGCAGGAAGGCAATTTTCATATCTTTATATATGGTATCTTCAGAATAGAACTGCCAGGATGTTAATGGGGACTGGCAGGTACTCACTTATAATGCCTTATAATGCCAATCCTCTATTGGTTATACTGGCTGCCAATTGAAGTCTGGGCCCAATTTAAGCTGCTTGGTGATGACCTATAAAGCCCTAAGTCTGGGATACCTGAAGGAATGCCTTCTTCCCTATGTGCCCTCCCACCCCTTGATTTCTAAGGTGGAGGTCCTGCTCTGTGAGTCCTTTTGAAGGACATCAGGAGAGTGACTACCTGGAGGAGAGCCTTCTCTACAGTGGCGCCCCAACTATGGAATACGCTCCCCAGAGAGGTTTGCCTGGCACCGATGTTATATTCTTTTCGGCACCAGGCGAAAACCTTTTTATTTTCCCATCATTTTAATGTTTAATTGATTTTAATTGGGTTTTTAGTATTTCAATTGTTGGATGCTGTGCTGTTTTGTTTTACTCTACTCGTTTTTTATAGTAAGCCATCCCGAGAGGCTAGCGGTGGATGGGTTAGAAAAGCGTTAAATGAATAAATAAATAAATTGCAGAACTCAACCAAAAGTATACATGTGCCATGATTCAGAATAGTACTTAGAAGAGAGTCCTGAAAATTCTCCAACCTTGGAAGGGTCTTGGGAGATCATCTAGTCCAAGGAGATCATTTATCCTAATGTTGGCCAAAATCTGCTTCCCAACAATTTCCACCTGTTGGTTCCAGTCCTGCCTTCAGGAACAGCTGAGAACAATTTTACTCTTTTTTGTTTGAAGACTGCCATCTTCTCCAGGCTAAACATGCCTAGAGCTTTCAACTGTTCTTAGTAGGGCGACTCCCAAGCAGGATCATGTGTTGAAAGATCCATCCCATGGGTGCAATACTACTGAAAATTCCACCAGTTCAAAATGGTTGTATGAATCAGCCACTACACACAAGTCACCACCTTCACTGCTAACATAAGCACAGAAGGAGAAGGTGCACGTTTCCTGTGGAAGAGGGTTTGTGCATTTTGACCTGGATGTTCTTATTTACCTGAAATATCAATATTCCTCATGCAGAGAGAGCAAGGCTAGAGCTGTCAGAACAAATTAACCTGCCACTATAGAGAAATGGCAGTATAAACTTCATTGTAACTGACATATAAACCTGATTCAGACATCCTGGCAATGATTTCAGGACCGTTTATCTTAGGAACTGCAGAGCATGTAGGCCATTTCAACTTTTAATTAACAACCCAGAAAACGCCCATGGTTTGTTGTTAACCTGGGGCTGTTTAATCCATATACAACCCAGAATATCTGGGTCTCCACATCACAGAACCACCCAGGAATTGCAGGGCCAAATGGAGCACATGAGATTTTCTGCTTTCTATGTAATGTGAGAACTGGGCCCACATTACAGGAAAATGCCACAGGGATCCATTCCATACACAATGCTAGGGTCTGTCCGCAAGTCTTCATTGACACAGTGGACCTTGGTCCCCAGTGAGTTTACCAATTGCATTTTACTTACAATTTCATGTTTACATGTGCACGTATTAAAAATGTGGATGCATGAAAAGACCTTGAGGAATAAGGAAAAAAGTAAAAGCTTATGGTCTGATATATCTCACACTCTAGGAAATTCAATGTGAAAGCCCATGGGACCTCCCACTCTCCTCAAACAGCTCACGAGATTATGGGGTAGCTCGAAGTTTCGGATGCTGGACACCACTAGCCAGTTTTCCAGAGGCACAACACCAATTATCTTCATATTGCGCATATCCCTGAACCAATCAGCAGCATTCATTGGCAAACACTGTCAGAAGAAAATGGAAATGCAAACACATCAGTCATTTAAGGGACAAATATTAGGTAGGAACAGTCCTAATAAAGTTGGAAACTTTAAATGGCATTCCAATTGGCATTGAACTTAAATTCAGCTTCTCCCTTCATAACATTGTACACAAGTGCGCTACAGGTGTTCAGTTTGGGCTGACTGTGGAATTATCATGGCTGTAATTCATACACTTACTAGGCCCTAAGGCAGTCTTCCCAAGCTGGTGTCCTCCAGGTGCTTCAGATTTCCATTTCCACTGGTCCTTGCAAATGTAACCAATGGTCAGGTATCCTGGGAATTTTCATGCAAAACATCTGGAGGAAATCAGGCTGGGGAAGACAGTCCTAGAGAGTCGACGCTATAGGATTTACTGAGTAAACCAGCACATGCTTATGCTAGAAGAGTTACCATGGTAGAGGTGTTTATAGCAAGACTAAGCCCCTGACTGAGAGTGGGTGTGGCAGATGTTATCAGATCTAACAGAATGGAAACAAAGTTTATTTAAGCGAGTGATTAGATCTGCCACCTGCAAGTTTCCCAGTCCTTCATATTTTTATTTTATCTCTTAACATTTCTAATGTTTTTTTTTTAATCAGGTGCAGAGATTTCTCCTTCACACATTCAAAAGCCACAGACCTTTCTTGCAAAGGATTCTTTATTGACAGAAATGCACAAACACAATGAGCCTCTGAACATGCATAGAGTGGTTTGTTGAACCCAATCTAATATTCACCTTCAGGAACTCTCCTCATGAGCATGCTTGGCCCCCATCCCTTTGGGAGGGGCCTTCTGAAAATAAGCTCACCTCCTTTTCTCATGCCAGTCCTCTAACTGGGACACCTTCATCTGCTGATATGTGTCAAGAGCCAGGACTGCCTCATCTGTGTCTGAGAAACTGCCCTGCTCCAAATCAACTTCTGCCAACTGTACATATTGGTTATTCCCAGTGACTGACTGACCACCTGGGGAATCTGCCCTTGAGACAAATGTCTCCACTTCTCTCATCTCAGTGTCTCAGGATGGACCACACTCCCAGGTTCCCACTGCTCCCTCTTCTCATTCTGATTCTTCTGAAGATCAGCCAGCAGCCATCTTACTCACTCCCGACAGGCTGGCATGTTGTAAACTGAATGGCTGCCCTTTGGCGCCATCTCTATTTGGGTTCAAGGGAGTGGTTTTCCAGCTCAGATTCCATCTCTGCCTTGTACTTAAGTTCTCCCACAGGTTCCTTTTCTTTTAGTCTCACCAGCTCGCCTTCTGGGAAATTAGTGGGTTGTAATGACCTATCCCCTACTATGACAGCCATTTTTGAGGGGAAAACCCCCCCAAAGGCCTCATGTCACCCCTGCAGCTTCAAAAGATTGCTAGGATCAGGGGAAGGAGCAAGGAGAGAAATGCAATGTTTTGCAGTACCTGAAGGCAGTGCTTGGAGCTCTGCCAGAGGCCACCCGCCCTCAGAGACCACATTCAACAGTGGTGTGAAGTAGAATAAGAAAATGCGCCTCTGATGCTTACCATCTCATTCTGCATGAGAATTTTTTCCGAGGTGACCACACGGCCAGTCAGGGAAGCCTGACACCCAAGCTGCAACCCCCAGTTTTCCAATTCCAAGCGAGCATCTCTATTTCTGCAAGGAAATGTATACCCCCAGTATTATGTGTGTTAAATGGAAAAAGGACGCCCCATCTCCCAGCACAAATTAAGCTGAAGTGAAAAATTATGGGTTGTATTTAATTGTGACACTTCTCCAGCGGTTAGAGTACTGGACTGGGATTGGGAATATCCAGGAGGGAACAGTTGGCCAAATTTGCTCCAGAGTGAGAGCTGCAGGTAGGAAGGGAAGGAGAGGAGGTTGTGGAAATCCTGTCACAAAGTGGGCATCCATTCATCATCCATTCATGTGAGTGCTGGATCCAACGCTACGTATTTCATAATATTCTGATTTTTCTCAGAGGTCCTATAAAACGGTGACAGGTCATCACATTTGTATACAGCAAGTTATAGAGCTCAGTCTAGAAGTTCACAACTGTTCTGGCTCCAAGGGTCACATCTGCACCTTTAGGGTGGAAGATAATGTGTGCTGGTGAGAATGCTGGGCTTGGGCTTGGAGGATCTGAGTTCTAGTCTCACTCAAGCCATGGAGCTCACTGAATGACATTGTGTCGGTCATGGACTCTCAGCCTAACCTACCTCACAGATAGGGGCTTCTGAGAACAAAATAGAAAGATCAAGGGGGGCTATGTAAGCTGCTTTGGGTTCTCTGAAAGAGGAAAAAGAACAAATAAAAGGTGGTGGAAAGCAACTTGTGGCCCTCAAGGTGTTTTAGCCTGCCCTTCCCACGATCCCTCAACCTTTGGCATTACTGTCTAGGACTGAAGAAAGCTGCAGGTCACATCTTGAGGGCCACAGATTGCTCAGCACTACTTTAAGATATGCACTATGCCAAGCACATTATACTTCTCAGTCCTGGAAACAACTCCAGGGCATGAGTGACCGTGGCCAGGTTCAGTTTCCATGGAAAAGAATGCAGCTGGCCAATGAACAGAAAGGTGGTCACAGAAACATAGGAAGCGGCCTTAGACCATAAAGATCTGGGCAGCTTTGAGGCTCCATCTGGTGGCCAAGAACCAGAACAACCACCATGGTATTTACAAGATTGGTCCTAGACACGGCTGGAGCTCTCTGGGAAGGGATATATAAGACGGAGCTCTTCCTTCCAGAAGCTGCCTCACTGATGCAGGTTTTCTGGCTACCTGTGTTGTGGCTCCTGTACCTTCCCACATCTGGTTCCTGCCTTGCTGTGTCCTGCTGTACCTTACTATCTCACCTTGCCATGCCGCGCTTGCCACACCTGCTGCTGCTCCTGCATCCTGCCTTGCTATTCTGCCTCATGTACCTGTTGCCTGCCAGGTTTGTCTTCCTGCTTCTCAGCCTTGGTCTTGCTCATGACTATTATTTATTTATTTATTAAAACATTTTTATGCCGCCCCATTCGCCGAAGCCTCGGGGCGGCTTACAACAATAAATAAAACCAATAAGTTAAAATATACATATAAAATAATCATAATAATTTAAAACACACATTATAAAATAAGCCACCCTGGCCAGATAAAATTCAGTGGTATTAACATTTAAAATGTTGCTTAAATAAAAAGGTCTTTGCCTGGCGCCAAAAAACAAATAACGACAGCGCCAGGCGGACCTCTCTGGGGAGCGCATTCCATAACTTAGGCGCCACCGCTGAGAAAGCCCTCCTCCGAGTAGCCACCCTCCTAATTTCTCTCACGAAGGGCTCCCGGAGAAGGGCCTCTCCCGCTGATCTCAGGGGGCGACTGGGCATATATGGATGTAAGCGCTCCTTCAGGTAACCAGGACCCAAGCCATTTAGGGCTTTATAGGTCATTACCAACACCTTGAATTTGGCCCGGACTTCAATGGGAAGCCAGTGAAGCTGACGGAGAACTGGAGTCATGTGAACATAACGTCCAGTCCCCGTCAGCAGCCTGGCAGCTCTATTTTGGACCAATTGAAGTATCCGGACCGTCTTCAAGGGTAGCCCCACGTAGAGCGCGTTACAGAAGTCAAGACGGGAAGTCACCTGTGCATGAGTCACTGTTGCAAGGCAGTCGTACTCCAGGTAGGGACGCAACTGATGAATCAGCTGATGAAGCTGGAGGAAAGCGCTCCTCGCCGCTGTTGTCACCTGAGCTTCGAGTGAAAGCTCCGGGTCGAGGAGCACTCCCAAGCTGCGGACCTTGTCCCTAGGAGGGAGTGCAACCCCGTTCAGGACAAGGTTCAATTCACCTTCTCCGAAGCCCGAACCGCCAACCAACAGGACCTCCGTCTTGTCTGGATTGAGCTTCAGTTTATTGGCCCTCATCCAGCCCATTACCTCGGCCAGGCACCGGTTCAGTACAGCCACTGCCTCACCCTGACTACACCCTGGACTTGTTCTGATATGCACTCCCAGTTCCTCACCTGGGCCCATTTCTAGACCCTGACTCTGCCTCCAACCCAGCTACCCACCTCTAACCAGTTTGTGGACTTTGCCCTGCCCTGAGCTTTGCTGCCTCGTGCATCTGTCATGAGTCCTGCTACACATGCCCCGACACAGACCTTGGCCAATTGTTGTATAGATCATTCAAATATTTTTTTCAAGCTGTGCTTGAAGCCGTCTCATGTCAAAACATGGCAGACATGTGAGTCAGACTGGAGAAGCTTAGAAACAAGTTTGATGTGACATTACCTCTGAATGTTGTCAGCAAGTCCACCCAGCTGTTGGTATCTGCGTTCTGGGGACAACTGAGTTTCTTGGGCCAAATCCTTCATCAAACAGAAGTCAGAAGTTGCACGGCGGCTTAAACCTAACAAATAATGTGGGGATCCTTTTATAGAGGTGTGAAATTGCAGGAGGGAGGTACAAAAAGGCATCCCATCTCTCACCTTTTTCAGCAAGTGATCTTTTTGTATTATTTTGAACAATCTGTACCCAGAAAGCCTATGCCTACACTTTCAGAGTACAGGCAGTTCCCAGGTTACAAATGAGTTCCATTCCAGAGAAAATGGAAATTCATATTTCAGTCAAATCTGTATGTAAGTCAGATTGCATATGTAAGTCAGACTGTTGGCCCTCTACATTTGTGGTAGTTAAGGGCACAGGATTCCCAAGAAAGTGGAGAAACCATGAATATTTCCAGCCCTGTCCCTGTCCAAACTCAAAAGTGCCTCCTTTTTGCAGCAATGAAATCCCAGAGAGATCTCCCTCTCTGGATGGGTGGGGGCAGGAAGACCCTTTCACTTCCTCTCTCTCTATGGTGATGCTTTGAAGGCCCTCTCTCTCTCCTCTCTCACTTCCTTTCTATGGTGATGACAATTTTCTGCAGTATTTTTTTAAATTAACAGGCTTTATGGCAGTTCATTCATAAGTATGGGTTATTCATAACTCGGACATTTATAACACAGGGACTGCCTGTAATTCCACAGTATCATTTCAGAATACAGTTGGAGGAAAGTCTGTTTTAAATGCTTCCATGATGTAATTCCAAACAAAAATAAAAAACCAATTCTGCCTGAACTCTGTAAACTAACATATTACAGTGGAGTAACCTTGCTGTGGTCCAAGCAAGCCCTACTCTGCAAGTGTGGGCTTCTGCTAGCAGTACAGTATCAAGGGCACTAGCAAACTGCCAGTGTTGGATCCTTATGTTTTCACATCCACAGAGGTCGCTAGGAGCAGCAGAGAGACTTGCAAAAGTGAAAAACTGCCATATACTGTATGCAGACTGTGGAACTGTCTTGGTCAGTATTGTCTTGCTCTGAAAAGGCAGTAGCTCCCCAGTGGTTCAACCAGAGCCCTTTCCCAGCCTTCCAATTTCAAATCCTTTGCAGAAAGATGCCATGGTTTGAATGCAACCATGCAACCTTCTGCATGCAAAGCACATGCGCTATCACTGCGGCTGCTCTCCATGTGAAATGTACTCTACATTAATTCCACAAACATATAAAAGAAACTTGTCCAAAGCATATTGCCTCAAAACCCACTTGGCCATGAACTGTCTCTAAGCCTGGCCTGGGGGACCAATCCAGCCCACTCATATGGCCATTCTACCTTCTTTCAGCCCCAGCTTTTTCTCTCACGCAGCAATCACTGGGTTTCTATGCAGTTTTCACCTTCCCATAAAGGTTTAAAGGCTCTCCTAAGGTTATGTTATTCGCAGTAAGAAGAACTTAATACTACTGTTTGCCTTGTCCACCACTGCAATACAACCTCACCTGCAAGAACTTTCACATGATGGAATTTAACCTTCAGGCTGAAAGAGATTTAAAACCCTTGCTATGAGCCTTGAATACCGAGGAACTCGACAACATTCAGATTGGATGCTTTATGTTCACCACTCTTGACATAAACTGCTGCTCAGACCCCTGGAGTTAACAGCTGTTTTACCTGTCAGATAGCAGAGTTCAGGGATCAGGTGGACCACACGAGGTTCAACGGTGCTGCCAGCCTTAGTCTTCAGAAGGCTCATAAGCAGAGGCTGATTTAGGTCAGTCAAGACAGCATCATACTGCTGCTCAGGAAAATACAAAATCAAAGGTAAGGGAATGACGCTTGCTCTGCATCCAAGGTACTTACTGCCATTACACGACAAAATGGGACCTTTGAACAAAGGGCTTTTTGCATTAATAAGGCCAACTATCCCAGAGGCAGTCAATTATATTTATTTATTTGGGATATTTCACTATGCATTTCTGCAAACAAATACTATATTTGTTTATAGTATCTGCATACAGCTCCCTATCTAGGCAGTGATTTACTAAAGCAGTGAATTATGAAAAGATAAAACAGACAAAGAGCAAAGACAATACATTAAAAACAGGTTCACATCAAAACCATATCCAGTCAGCATGGAAGCCTTCCTAGAACAAAGATGTCTTCAACAAAAACAGCAGTGCTGATGCCTACCTGATCTTAAAGAGAAATGAGACTGCCACAAGGAAGGCACTTCTTCTGGTGCACTCCAGTTGGACTGTATGACCATGGGGAACAACTAACTCATATCTCTACAACAGGGGTCCTCACACTTTTTAAACAAGGGGCCAGTTCACTGTCCCTCAGACTGCTGGGGGCCAGACTCGGGGGGGGGGGGGACTGGCGCGATCACGGGCGCACTCGGGGAGGAGGTGGGTGTGATCGTGGGTGCGCTCGTGCAGGAAAGGCGGGTGCGATCACGCCCATCTCCCCCTCCCCCCAGCATGACCAAAATCGCGCCCATCTTCCCTGCACGAGCGCACCTGCAATCGCGGCCATCTCCCCACTGAGTACGCCTGCGCCACCTCAGAGCTTTTGGACTCGCTTGGAGATCGTTTTCTCCAAGTGAATCCAAAAGCTCTGAGGTGGGCAGGATCTGGCCTGCAGGCCGTAGTTTGAGGACCCATGCTCTAGAGCACCCTTCAGGGTAGTCCCACATGAAACACATAACATTAATTTTACAGTTACCAGCACCTGTATTACTGTGACTAAGCTACTTTGGCCAGGAAAGGTAAAGCTGGTTGGCAAGCTAACTGAAGATGGTAAAAGAACTCCAATCTACCACAGTCACTTTGGATTCCAGCAAAAGATGTAAAGGTACTCCCAATACCATGAATTTGGTTGTTCAGAGGGAGGGAACCCCAGTCAGTACTGATAATGACTTGGGATGATGATGCCAGGACTTGGGAACCACTCAGTTCCCTCATCAGTATTCAGCTTCAGTTTACTGGCATTTGTCCAGCGCATCACTGAGTCCAGGCACTGATCCAGGAGTCACACAGCCATTCCTGATTTTGTTAGGTTTGTGTGTCATCAGCATACTGATGGCAATTGGCTCCAAAACCCCTGATAACCACTCCAAACAGCCTCATATAAATATTAAGCAATACTGGAGACAAGATGCTACCCCACTAAAGGAACAATCACCCATTGTTGCTTTCTGAAATGGACCTGCAGGTAAGACAATGCCTCCAATACCCAACCCACAGTCAATCGAGAAGAGTGCCATGGTCAATAGCACTGAAAGCTGATGAGCAGCCAAGTAGAATCAACAGGGTTGCACCCCCACAACCCCTCTCCTTATAAAATTCATCCCTCAGGACAACCAAGACCGACCGGTCCTCCAAGAAAGGGCAAAACCCAGACTGAAATGTGCTTGTGCAATTGGTTTCCTCCAACAGTGACTGCAGATACACTGCTTTCTGCTAGAAGTGGTTCTCAGCAGCTAACAATAATGAAGCAAATGTTAAAAGTAGATGGCACCTGATCAATGCAACCCTATCAGCAACAAACAGCTTATAAGCCAGAGCCCTGTTTGAACAAAAATGACTTTTGTCAGCTGGCTGGCTGCAGAGATGGAACCAACTTCGCATGGAAGCGGCCACAAAGAAAGCTCTCTCCCATGTCCCTATCAAATGTGCCTATGATGGTGGTGGAACCAAAAGAAGGCCTTCCCCAGAAGATCTGTAAAAAAGGACAGGCTCATGTGGGAGAATATGGTCTTCAGTCAGGCTATATAGGAAACATGGATTCCATATCCACCGTTCTCCTATTTATCCAATATTTTACAACTGAGCTCTTCCCTGTTTTTCTCGCATAGTTATTTCGCATTTTGTCCAGACATAACAACGAAGGGTAGCATCTTCCTGGTTATTTACCTGTTTGTAGTAATCTTCATAAGAGATCTGAGTGCCATCACGTTTCTGGAATGTATCTGTTGGCTTCACAGACCATTCAATATCATCAATGCGGTAGGTCTTGTTGTTGTATCTGAAAGAGTTAAGTACACAAATATTCTAAATAGGGATGTACAAGAATTACATTTCTGCTCTCAAAACCTGCCCTGTTCACAAACCTGCATGTGAGCCTAAGAACCAGTCCCCTGAAAGTATTCATTGCACAACTTTTCTGCGAATTGCCAATTGGTGCTAATTTTAAAGTTATGCCAGTTCAGTGATTTCTGCACAAATCTCATGTCCATTTTGTGCAATTTTCATGTTTGAATAAACAAGCAGTGATTACAAACATAAATTAAGTGGGAGACAAATGGCAACCAGCGGTTTGAAGAAAACTGGTGAGTTCAAATATTCTTATTCCTAATTTCAAATGCCCGCTGGTTGGTTACAGACCCCAGCAGATTCAGCAGAATTCTCTCTCCCATTAAGATGCAGTTCCATTGACATGCTAAGGAAGATTTGCAGTTAAATAAAATGGTCTACTTCTGTTAGCAATATAATGGCTCATGCAGGACGGCAAGTGGGAAAAGGTTATGGCAACATGGCAAAACATGCGCTTTGCATGCAGAATGACTCGGGGACAATTCCCAGCATCACCAGACAGAACTGGGAGAAAATCCTGCCTGAAACTCTGAACAGCCAAGACCAATCACTGTCAACAATACTGGGCTAGATGAACCAATGGCCTGACTCAGTATAAGGAAGCCTCCAGCTCACCTTCTGTGAAAGGAAAAAAACATGTTGCCTCTTTCTTTCTAGGAAGGGAGCAATAATTATGCATGAGCGTTTGCTTGCTTTGAAAAAAGCTCAGGTTAGCCCCATTGTATTTATTCATTTATTTTATTGAATTATTTAAAAACTATCATTCATCTTTGCAGATGCCAGAGTGGTACATAAAAGTGTGATTGGCAAAAAACAAAATACAATAAAGTCACATAAGATACATGATATCTAGGGAATGCTGGAAGTTGTAGTATTTTTCTCTGTCCAAATGTGCAGGGCATTATGCTCTAAAAACTACCTACAGCACAATCCTGTTAATTTCTACTCAGAAGTAAATCCCACTAAAATCAGTGGGGGTTCATCCCTGCTGGTAAGCGAGTACTGGGTTGCCGCCTGAAACAACATAAAACTCTGCAGATGTTGCTTCTGCTCCTGAGCAGGAAAACACTCTGTCACATCCTAATACTAATCTGTCTAGATGGTAGAATGGACAGAAAGTAGATTGAGATCTATTGACCACTCTCTGGATGGTTTGCAGTGAATGGTCAAAGCTTTTCTGGCTCCCAACTGTTTGACGACAGCAACAACAAAATGACATTTTTCTTAACTGAGGTTGTTACAATAAAGAAAGCTTGATTTTGGTTTAAAAGAAAGGAATGTGGGGTCAGTTCAGTTTTCCCTGCTCTAAAAAATCCTGCTGAAAGTGCTGGCAAAACAAGAAGAGAAACCAGAAGGTCACAATGCCACATAAAGAATCCGTGAATAAACATGAGCAGGGAATGACAAGTGCACCGTAAATGTGTAAAAAAGCCCTTTAGGAACTTGACATGGGCATCCATTTGCAAGGCAACACACAATTTCCGAAACAGTCAACGTTACCTTGTGAGAACAATCAGTCCCACCAGTTCTTTTTCACACGTCTCTGCAAAATGTGCCGGGTCCACCCTATTGTATAGGTCTGTCATGAATTCCAAAACATTCTCATTGCGCAGGACTTTGTGGCTCACATCTGCACAGAGCATCACTCTGTTCTCAAACTGTCCAACAGACACCATGAAACCTGGCCAAAGTTAGTCTGAAAGAAAAAGACCAGTCTAGGTTGACCTGACTGAAGGCTATGGATGAATGAGTAGTCCTAGATCAGGGGTCAGCAACCCATGGCTCCGGAGCCGCACGTGGCTCTTGAATCCCTCTGCTGCAGCTCTGCCACTGATCTGCAACACGCGCCGGCACAGCCCCTGATCTGCGACCTGCACCGGCACAGCACAGCCCCGATCGGTTTCATAAATGCAACACACTATATTTTTTTATACATAGCATAAAGGTAAAAAACGAAATATGCAGTGTTATTTTCATTTTAGAGGTCAAAAGAGTTTTGCGGCTCCCGGTGTTTTCTTTTCTGTGGGAAACGGGTCCAAATGGCTCTTTGAGTGTTAAAGGTTGCCGAACCCTGCCCTAGATAATAAAGAGTTTCTAAACCTATTGGAACCCTCTTAATCAGATTGGCTGGCATCTAAGGGGCATTCAGGGGAACAAACAAATTCAAGGGAACATCACCAAAAAAGGACAAATCTCCAAATAAAAAAGGAGAGGCAGCTATATTCACTATTGCCTTATGGCCAATGGGGTGCGATAAAAGTTGAATAAATAAATATAATTAATGCCCACTTCCCCAACTCAAGGGAAATGTGTGATAGTTCGGGAATGCATCCTAGCCTTTGCGCCATCATTAATGGTCAACCCTCTGATAAGCCTCTAGAGAACTCAAAGTTTCTGATGAAAACACATGGGAAACCACCCACTTGCACCATCGGCAGGTAGATTAAAAAACTACTGACAAAGTAATATTAATATTATAGTAATAATATTCCTGTGAATAATATTCTCACAGGAATTATGCTAGAGCTAGGGAAATGTTAAATTGCATGCATGGCTGAGTCTAAGGTAGTATCTCCTGAGCTAGCCTAAAATTGGATAGAATTTAACAGCTGAAGTTTAATTTCACTGCAAAATTATTAAGGCTATAAAAGATACTCAGCTGTAGAATTGGCCAACTTACTTGTGCTGAGGGATTTCCACTGGTTCTGATGGAGTATAGAAGTTTCGTCCCACTTGATACATGGACAACTTTTTCAAAACCCTAAACATTGAAAGTGTACATTTAACATCCTATAAAACACAAGCATAATTTTTGGAACTAATTACACTTACACCCGTATGTGCCTACCTGGCCTTTAAGATCTACACAGGGAACCCTCCTGTGTGAGCCGTCCCTTACGGAGGTGAGAGGGATGGGTGCTAGGAGGAAGGCCTTTTCTGCAGCTGTTCCCCATATTTGGAATGCTCTACCCAAGGAGATTCGCCTGGTGCCTTCCTTATATTACTTTTGGCACCAGGTGAAGACCTTCCTTTAAAAAAAACATTTTAATAATTAATTGCCATTTGACCTTTGTTTTGTATTGTGGCTTGTGTTTTATTGTTATTCTATTTTAATATGTTTTTATTGGTTTTTACAGTGTTTTTACTTGTGTTTTTATCTTGTAATTGTGAGCCACCCAGAGGTGTTATGGCACAATTGGGCAGCATACAAATGTTTTAGAAATTTTTAAAAAATGATACAATTCCCAAATCTAGCTAGATGTGCAAACTAAAATTTACCTTAGTGAAAGTCAATCAAGTGCTAGAACTACAGAATGTAGCTATGCTTTTCAACACATCTTCATCATTTGAACAAATGGAACAATTTTCACCCAATGAATCTAATGGAACAACAATGGGGGGGACAACTTATAGAGACGGATGGATCAGATTATCCTTGGCTTCTGTTCATTTCAGATGTGTTCATTCTTAACTGCAAAAATCAGGCTGAAATTCAGCTCTCTTGCTCTTGCTGGACTTCTCTCCCATGCTCAGCCCTAGCAGTTAAGCAAGTCACACTGAGGTCAAGTCTGCAAACTCTTAGGAACGCTAGTGGCTTCTTTGTACAAAGTATGCAAAGTACATAATTCTTTGCACAAAATACACATTTGAGTATACAATTCCTTGATTCTATTTATAGCATGGCTTTGGGGGCCATCTAAATTTAGGTCCCTCTTTCTCCCCTCCCCCCCCACGCACTTACTTCTTAAAGACAATGTTTAAGAACTGAAGGCACACAGGGTTGCTGGGTATCAGCTGGTGGATGAGTGTAATGGTCATCTTCACAGTTTCACCTCTGTGTGTTTCACAGGACAGTTCTGTGACCTAAGGAGGAAAAAACGTGACATGCTTTCTCTTTTGGCAGTCATCCTCTCTTTCCCATGAATTACTTTATGTAATTGGCAGTTGTAATGTCTGTGAACCACCCTGCTTGGACAGAGCATAAGTCTTGGAGTGAAAGAAGACTGTGAGCTCAGTTCTGCTACTGAAACCTGGGCTGAATATGGCCTCAAATGCACTCTGATCCTATAGTCTTTATGTACAGAAGCCCCTGAGCCACCAAGGGCACAATCCTTGCATGTTTAGAAAGCAAAAGGTCTGACAACTCTCAGCATTCCCCAGCCAGCCTTGCCAATAGTCAGGGATTCTGGGAGGTGTAATCCAAAACATCTGGCAGAAACTAGAGTGCTGCACTGCCACAGCAGGCACTGCAACCTGTTGTACAATGCCCTCCTATGTCTCACAAGAGCAACCTAAAGTGACCCTGTAAAAAAGCTGTTGCAGGAATGTCCCATCCCTCAGCAAAGTGGGTACCACAAAACACATCCTTAGTTAAGGTACTCCTACAAGTGTGCCAACTGTGGGAGTGTGTGGTGTACTGGGTAGGGTTGGACAAGCCTATGAAGACTCAAGTTCTCATTCCCACCTATGCCATGAAGCTCACTGGATGACTCTGGACCAGTCCCTGATTCTCACCGTAGCTGACCTCAAAGGGTTGTTGTGAGGATAAAATGAAGATGAGAAAGGAATGCAGAATGTAAACACAACAAACGAGTTTGCTCAGAACATAAAGAGAATGAACATATAGGCTTTTGTTAATCCCTGCCTTTCAATATTTCTTTCTCCCCAACTCACCTTCTTGATTCTGGAAAATTTTTAAATAGCTTTTAAGCAAACACTGCAAGGCACATTTATTTGATTTCTAGCCCGTCCCATTAGCCGTACGTGAGCTGACAAACAAGAGTGGGTATGGCTGAAAGGTGATGAACCTGGCAGTCTGTGTGTCTGGGCACAAACTCATCTCTCATAACACAACACTGGTTTTAAAAAGAAAGATTCCATCAGACTGGGGCCAGAAACAGCCTGAACTATTGGTGAAAGACAGCAAGACTGCTACCAGTTTGTTATTTAAAATCCAAACCTTGAGAAAGAATTCGTGCCTACCTGAAAGCAATCTCTTACAAAAGGAGGGGTGGGGCCACAGTAAGCTGTCAGGAGCAAGGCCAAAACCAGCAGGGGGTGGAGCTGCAACCCAAGGTGGACATGGCACCTTTTTTTCTCGGGTGCATTTCATCGGACATGCTGGGCCCACCATGGGTTAATTTAACTTATGCTGAGCCAGGAGCCAGTTGCTGTTTTGAATCTGCAGTACCCAGTGGGATTGTGGTATGTCATGTCAAGCTAACCATCAGGGTTAACCAAGGTTTGGCAACAAACCAGGAGTTATGCAACTATTGTCCATCAACATTTTTAGAAATGGTTAGAAAATAAAAGGGAAATAAACTCTAAAAACACATCAGATTTAGCTTAGGCAGCAGTTAAACAGAATTGGCAGAGTAATCCACAAGTAAACCAATCTGATGAAGCTTAAGACTGCAATCTCTAATTGCCTAGAAGAAAGTCCTACTGACTTTGTTCATTGACTCTCTGGCAAGGAAACAGCTGGTAGGAATGAATGAAAAGGAGAAGCCACAGAAGGTGAAAGTGCTGGTAAGCAAGTTCACAGAGGGTGTCTCGTCCAACAGCCCTCAAATACCTGGAGCTGGCACTAACAGTGCTTAACCACATGTTCGGGGGCAGCCCACAATCAAGACACAAGGCCAAAAGCAGATGTCCACTGTTGTTCCTCAGCATATTGTTTCTAACACTGGAGGTAGAAAATAGTCACCATGGTTAATAAGCAGTGATGACCCCATCCACCTTCCATGAAATTGCCAAAACCCCTCACAGCAGCATGGAGAAAGTCAATGGGAATTCCCTTCTCCCCTAAATATTCGCTGACTGCCACCATTGAAATTTCAGGGGAAGTAACAGCAGTTGTTGCATTGTTCTTTTTGCATGCTCGCTCTCGCTCTCTCTCTCTCTCTCTCTCTCTCACACACACACACACACACACAGAACCTTACTCGGTTTTCCAGTTTCTTTGCAAGGAACAGTGTTGCTCCATCAAATACTTTGGTTGTTCCCAGAAGTTCAGCATGGCCATACAACAATGCAACCCGCAAATGCCTTGATTCCAGCTCTGGGGTAAATGTTACACGGTACTGGTAGAGCTGCCATTCCCTGGGCAAACCTAAACTGAAGAGGTTGGTTATCAGTTTCACAGGAATTCCACTGGAGCCTAAAATAGACAAGAGGATTTAAAATTAACTTTGGACTAACCAATATGTATAACTGCAGATTTCCCAGTGTTGAAAAGATTAGATAGTTTCTTGAAGCCACGTTAAAGCCTTACAGTCTTCAGCTTGTTCAGAGGCGCATCACAGTTGCCTTCCTCAATCATTCTGCAGGTGAGAGCTGCTTTTGTTATAGGAGTAAAGCTGTCTGCCTCACTGAAGCAGCCTTCCCACCTCCTTCTGGGCAAAAGAGGAAGGAAGGAAGGAAGGAAGGAAGGAAGGAAGGAAGGAAGGAAGGAAGGAAGGAGCGAGCAATTTAAGCTGAAAGCTCCATCCCACCTTGGGCTGAAAGATCACAAGCCCAAGAAGCCACCCACAAGCCAGCAAAGGTCTACTGGAGAGGCCAATCTGGCAAGGGAGCTGGCCCTTCTTCCTTCTACATGACGCAAAACAAGTTCAACATCAAGAGGTAACAGAAGCATCAGAGGAAGATGCCCTCACAGAACCGCTCACCTACTAAGTAACTATTTTGAGTTCAAAAGATTGCCTGAACTCACTCTTGCCTTAGGAAGCTCTTAAAAATAGGCAAAATGGTTAGAATCATACACTGTGATGAAGCGTCTTCATTTTCTTCACACAGTGCAGTTAATCTATGGCATTCACCATCGCCAGCCACAACTCCGAATGGCTTTCAGGGGGACTGGACAAGTTCATGGAGGTGGCTATCAATGGCTGCTAGCCCAGATGGCTATATGCTACTTCCAGTATCACAAGCAATATGCCTGTGCACGCCAGCTGCAGGGGAACATGGGTTTCCCATGACAGTTGGTTAGCATTATGTGAACAAAATGCTGGACTAGAGGGACCTTGATCTGATCCAGCATGGCTTCCTCAGGTTCTCCATGGGCAGTGCTGCCCTCTGCAGTAACACAGGATGGGAGATCTTGCTAGAGTTGCCTTTTCCAGTGCTAATGTGCACATGAAAACATCACATTGCTGTACCTGTTTTAGACTCTTTAACATGGGCCATTGTCTCCCTGGTTTTTAGTCCCATGTCTTGAAAATGACGATGGATCCTTCGCCCTCTTTCCATCACTGTATAACCAGAACTTCCAACAGAAAAGCCATCTTGATGAGGAAAAAAGAGATAAATCTTTGAGGCCTCAACGAGAATGGGAAAAAGGCATCATGAACATAAAGGTATCAAGAAATATAAGAAGTGTTGATTGCACAAAATGTGATCAGTTTTAGTGAAGTGTAGTTAATGGTGTACTGGCCAGCCTGTCATGCATTCCTTCACCAAAAATTTGTTTCATCATGCCAATTTTGTAGCCAGTTCTACCTTTCAATGTAGAACTGTTTGTTTGTTTTGGAAGTCTAAAGTTTATTATCCCATTTTCCTGCTTAGCAATGGCCAGTGGTTACAAGCAAACCCTAAATACGCTGGACTTCAAAGCTAATTATCAGTGCTTTGAATATTTCACCATGCTCTGAAGACAACCATTTTCACTATATACACTTTTAAGTTGTACACTTACATTTTGGTGGATTCACCCCAGCACTTGTTTGACTATTTGTGGCATCTTCCACATTCTGAAAAAACAAGGGAATTGTTATTCCACAAGTAACCATATACGGTGGAGGTGGCAGAAAAATATTTGAAAAATAGAAGTTAAACATATCCTGCTTTTTTCGCTTCACCGATACAATTCCTTTGTTAAGAAAAAGGGTATTCATCAGTGGTGCACCATCTTTTTGGCCCCAAGTGCCGTATGTGATACTGGCCTGGGGGTTGCCTGCACACATAGACACACGCCCTAGTAATCCAGACAAGGTACACAGTGCCAAGTGTACTGGATCCAGGCCTCACAGGGTGAGAGAGCACCAAAACCTTTTGATTAGCAGGGATGCTGACATCCCCTGCCACCCTGCTCGGGCTTCCCTGTTCCATCACAGCTTAGCTGTAATCCATACAGCAGCTGGCAGGAAATGAGCTTTCCCACCAAAATACGCTGGTGTGAGCTATTTCTGTTATAATGCAAAGTTTTTGGGGTAGCCTCTTCTTGAATAGCCAATTTAGACCACTAACTTTGGAGGACAACCTACACGTAAAATACTAATGTGCTAATGAATTAAAGTGTCCATCCAATTATTTAATTTCCATCATTATGCACATATGAAGACATAATATTGAACATGTATGCAGTACTTTAGGATGTTCTACATTCAGTTAATCATCCTTAAAGCAAACCTGTAAGAGACGTTCTTGTTAAGGCCAAGTAGGAGTATGAGACAACTGCTGCCTAAGCCTAGGTCACCTACCTAGTTGAAAGCATAGACGAAACTGGAACAGTGAAGTCCCAGGTCCAAACCCTGGTTCATTTTTGCCTTCCTCTGGTCTCTATTTTTTTCTGCCTCTTTCTTAAATCATGGTGCCCAGAACTGGACACGGTATTCTAGAGGAGGTCTGACTAGTAAAAAATACAGGGGAACTATTACTTCTTATGATTTAGAAACACAGAAACAGAGTGAGTCAGAAGGGGCCTCCTGGGCCATCTAGTCTAACCCCCGGCTCCAGCCGGCTGTGCTCACGACATGCCCACCATGTGTGTGTCTAGCCTATCTTTGAACACCCTCAGCGAAGAGGCCTCAACCACCTCCCATGGAAGCCCATTCCATACCCCAGGGGTCCTAACTGTCAGGAAGTGCTTCCCGGCATCTAAATGAAACCTTGGCTCCCTGAGCTTTGCTCTAGTGGAGCACATCCTGCCTTCCTCTGCGGGGGGGGAACAGGTCTCTACCCACCTCCGTGTGACACCCCCTCGCATACCTGTCGCCAACAGATCCCTTCTGAGTCTCCTCTTCTCCAGGTTGAATAGACCAGGCTGGAACTAATACTTCTATTAATGCATCCCAAAATAGCATTTGCCCTTTTTGCAGCTGCATCGCATTGTTGGCTCATATTTAGCCTGTTGTCCACAAAAACTCCAAGGTTTTTTTCCTTTTCAATTCTGGTGAGCCACCTATTCCCTATCTTGTACCAATGCATTTGGTTTTTTTATAGGTAGAGGACCTGGCATTTGTCCCAACTGAATTTCATTCTGTTACTTTCAGCCCAGGGTCCAAGTTTATCAAGATCACCCTGGATCTTCATTCTATCTTCTAGATTAATCAACTGTATTAGTTTCAGCCATTTAATGTAAACAGGTGAGGGTTCTTTATGTCTACCCCAAATAGTTTGATTCGCAGTGTGCACTTAAACAATTTCTAAACACACAGCTATTAAAATATGAAAGGATAGTATGTTGGAAGAAGTGTTGCATATCACTGCTGGACAGGGCTAAAGCCAAAGGTAGGTAGGGTTAAGGTTGCTGTTAGGTTACTGTCTCTCTTCCCTACCTCCAAAGGGATGTCACAAGAGGGACAGATCACTTGTACAAAAGATTCCAACTGATTACTTGGAGAGGGCTTTTGAAGTTGGGCTGAAGGTTACAGGATGCTGACTCCTAGTGCAGACTGTACTGTACTGGACCCTTCCTCCAGTACAGTTCCTACTAGACCCAACACCTGTGAAGCTCAGGATTTAAGGGCCAGCTCTCCAGATGGACCAAACTGTATCAACCAGGTGGGATTCCTTTCTATCTTCTGACTGGTATGTACAAATATATGAATGGTATGGTGTTTTGTTTTGTTTTTTGCTTTTTGCACTGGCAGCACAAAAGAATCGAAATAAATTTACTGCACAAAATGTCGTCAGGTTTCACGGGGTTTACCTATCAGTGTACAGGCCAGCCCATTTGATAATAATGCAGTATTAGATCCTTTCACACTGTTTTATAATGTAAATGTTACATCAGGTTCCACACTTTGTTTGCTCACTTGGCAAGACTACAATGGTTTATTATTAAACTGTATCTGCTAACAAGCCATCTTGATGGTATCCAGCAATTCAGAACAGCAAAGTTTTAGTACAATAGAAATGGTTTTACTGGAGACATTGAACGATACATTTTTAAAGACTAAATTAAAGATACATTCTCTGTTTAGTAATACGGTTAACAAGCAAATGCTTAATGAGAAATTGACAGTAAGACCAGATCTTGCAATTACTGTCTGACATTTGGGGGCATGAGAAATAAAGTCCAAAAGGTGCCCTCCCTACCCCCACAGTGAGAAAAATATCACATACAAATAAATGAGACTTTGTTCATGTTTAATAGTTCTCTAAATCTGCTGCTTGTCATAGGCTGCCTCACCCTGTCTCTGGCCAGGGCTACGTCTGATGCATTTGACAGAAAATACATTGTAAAGGAGTCACAAACATACTGAAATGGTAGTTCCAGGTTGTTCAAATGTTTCTTCTCCAGAAAGGATCTGCCCTCTGGCTCTTACTCTTGCCCGTCCTGCCATTTCTTCAGGTCTTAAATCACTGAAATAAGCAAAACAGTACAGTGAAATTCAAGTGTATGCAGAGAGCCAGTGTGGTGTAATGCTTAAGAGCGTGGGACTGGGACTCAGACGATCTGGGTTCTACTCTCCACTCAGTCATGGAGCCCACTGGGTGACTTAGGGCCAGTCACAGACTCTCAGCCCAACCCACCTCAAGGCATTGTTGTTATCGGAATAAAATGGAGAGCAGCAGCAGCAGAATTATATAAGCTACTTTGTTATTTGTAAAGGGGGGAAGGTGGAATATAAATCTAATAAATTAATATTACTCTGCTAGCTCCAGTTCAACCAGTATAGGTTCTACTGGTAGGAATGCACGTGAGAGAAGGGGCTGTGAGTATTTCAAAGACTGCCTGTTTCTTATATGAACCTGCCCACTCCACATGCTGCAGTCATTCATGCTTAGTGTTTCTCAGTCATCAGAGGAACAGCAAGTGATTGAGCAGGTTTGTACATCATACTGACCCAATCTGGCAATATGCATCACTGGCTTGCTTGTTACTCAGACAATCCATGGTGTACCCAACAGAAGACCAGGCTCACCATGGGTTCTTCCCGACCCCATCTCCTTCTCAGTTTTCCCATGAGTATCCCAGGGATATCTATGGCAAGATCATCTTGTCTCCTCTCATCCTTCCACAATAGCAAAACTCTTCTCTACTGTTGCAGCTCTGTTTCCCCTCTGGGAGTATCTATCAGTGTCTGCCAATTCGGAGATCACGGTTCATGATCTCTTGAAAAAGGGATAAAGTTGTAAAAGCTGCAACAAGAAAAAAATAGCTTGCCATCATGGGGGCAGACACTAAACCTCTGTGAAATACTGCTGTCCCTGATGTTGGCCTGGGCAAGCTGATAAGAACAGCAAGGGCTTTTTGCCAGTTCCTGGGACCCACAACCGGGTCTGATGCCCAAGTTCAGGCAAGATGACAACGTATCATGTGTACACCACCACCTGGAAAAAGTGTGGGTTTACACAACATGACAATCCACTATGGTGTGCCATCCACAATGAGTTGCTGTGTTGTATGAACTCCCTATGAGAAGGGTCTTTCCCTAGTGCACACCCTTTACACTGTTGCCTAACCCCAGTTAGACAAGTTAGTGATGGATGAATGGCAACAGTCCTGATAGCTATATTCTTCCTCCAGGATCAAAAGCCATCTGTCCGTACACAGCAGCTGCTGGGAACTTGAGTGGGAAGGTGCTAGAGCACGCAAACCCTACTGATGGGCTTCCCACAGGCACCAGGATGGTCACTGGGGTGAGCAAAACATTTTGGACTTTGGTCCAGCAAGTCTCTTATGTTTTTCGGTTTGGCGATGAACTAGAGCGAGGTCAGAAAAGCTTCAATTTCAGAGGGACTTTGGCATTAACCAGTCAAACTGCTGGCTATGTCTTAAATGTTGCTTTCACCAACTGACAAAAATGTTTCTTCCCAACCTGAAGGAGCCTGTTACCATACAAGGTGGTCTGCTACTGAAAGAAGCTTTAACATGGACACTGCTATTTCTTTCATTGCTATTGTTTTCAGTTTGTTTGATTTTGCTATTTTTTTAGGAAGACCTTGTGTTTAATCTGAATTTGTTAACCTCCTTGAGTGCCATTTTTAGGTGGAACGACAAAACATAAATCTAGTAAAGGCTGGATCTTTTGTTTGTTTTCCTCAATTGT